CTGGCGGGCAGCATCTCGCCGCCCACGCTGCAAAGACTTTGCCTTTCGCTGCAGCTAAGAGCTGCTTTAAGCGCATCTCGGGTTTTCCGCTACCAGCTCCCTTCCCAGATCGGGGCTGGATCACGTGTCTGTGTCAACGGGTTTTATGGCCTCCAAAGACACCGCAAGCGCCAGATCGGGGTAGATTTGCTCTCCGGACAGAAGCGCAGTACCGGCGGGTCACATAAAGCTGGTCCCGGGTGGGTATTTTAACCACCGTAAACCAGCTGGGGACAAGCTGAAGCAGCGAGCACACGCAAACCCCCCTCGGCACCTGGTTTTCAGGGGCTTTATAAGCATCTAGCAATAAGTAAACTAAAGCTATTCATCAAAACCAGCCCATTTCCCAGTGCTCATTTCAGCCAGACCCCAGGGAGGAAAGGCCAGCATTCAGGCATCTGCAGATCACCCTGAAAGCTGGCGGTCTAATTCAATTTTAAAAACACACGGCAACCAAATATTTCCTGGCAGGGAGTCAAGCGCTTCCAACAGAAACAGGGCTGGAATTTGCTCCCGATCCAACAGGAGAAGCCGCTCGCCGAGCGAGCTCCGAGCTGCTCCATCACTCTCGGACCCGTCCCAGTTTAATATCGCAACGACTGACTGATTAACAGCCGCAGCTTGTTTACTCAAACAGGCAAACAGAGACATGTTAAAATGTCAACGAGATGTTATTAATATACCTTTTTCCATCTTAAATATATATATATATATTTAAAAAACAGAAAAAAAGATAGCACTAGTCTAGAAACCGAGAAACACAACACCGAGTGAGTCATTTTTCAGGGGAGCTTGTGGTTTTACTGTCTTTTCACGACAAGGGCTCCAGACACGAGAGGGCAAGTCAGTCAACGTTACGAAATTAAAAGTACTTAAAAGTCTGCATATCTTTGCGAATCCAGCAAATAGCAGCCTCCCTTTCGGATCAGTCAGCCGGCGAGCAAGGAGCCGGGTTGCCCCTGTGCTTGCAAACCCGCTGCACGTGCCCGCAGGGACCCCCCTCGCCTACGGCACATGCCGCAGCGACGCCTAATTTGGGGGAAATCCCTGCAACTCGCCTTGAATAGGAGCCACCCCCAAGCGTCCGAGGGCTCACCCCATCCTCCTCCTCCCAATTCAGAGAGGAGGGCTGAGTACCGGGCTTGGAAATATTTGCAGATAGGAGAGGACAGACTGACGGATGCACGCGCAGCTGGCTCCTCTTTCTGGTCCAGCCCAAGCAAAGCCTTCGGGGATTTACACACCGCAGCTTCAGGCTCGACAGCAAGACTTGCAGCACGCGGACTTGGTCCGAGAGCAACTCCCTCAGGATAAATACTTGAAGCCACTTTGCGGGGAGATAGGGAAGTTCAGGGGCTGACAGCCGCCAAACACAAACCTATGGAGCCACCACCCTCACCTCATAACCACAGCCTGTGTCCTGGAAACCAACCTGTTTCGGTTTATCAAACCGCTCCCCAAAACAGCACCCGCTTGTTGTCGTAGGATTATTAGCCAGCACCAGGCTGCCAGAAGCACAGAAACTTTTATTTGGCCATTGCCTTCGAGGCAGACTTGCCGGTCAGACGTGCACCCTGTGACCAGACCGTCACCACGCTTTCATCTTCCCACACTGCCATAGGTGTCATCTCCATAACGGGTGGGTGATATTATCCCACCCGCAAGGCCTATACCACTGCAGAGTCTAACTCGTACTCTCCGCACTGCACACAAAAGAACAAGTACACACACACACCCCCCAAAAAACCTCCTCACACCCTGAAAACCACCACCAAACAGGACTACCAATGGCGATTCCCAGTGCAGGGGCACGTTAAGGCTCAACTCTTCCCAACCCAACACAGATTACCTCCAGCTGTTATTTTTGAAGCATCCCCTCCAAATTAGCGAAACTATCATCACCAGGTTTTTCTTTGTATTCATGCAGATCCCCAAAGCAGTCGTCCTGGGAGGGACGTGCTCCCTGCTTGGCATTCTCACTTGGGAGCAGCCCAAGAGCTTTTGCTC